TTGAGTTTTTTAACTTCCTGGAGCTTAATTAATAAACATGACAACTAAGTGAGAGTTGGCACGAAGCCCCTTTCCCATCCAGCACATGGGCATAGTAGGGTAATTGTGGTTACTTACATTTGGCATCCAGCTGACTGAACTAACTGCTCAGTATCTTTTTTCGTCTCTTGGAGTACAGAAGCTATTAAATTAAACAGGTTAATGCGGCTGCAGCATTTCACCCCCTGCTATTCCCGCAGCCATAGTAAATCTGCCACCTGTTTATTTCCATAAAATTTTAATTACAGCACCACCAGTTTATTCTTCTTATATGAGCTGTTAACTTCAGGCAGTTTCAGACTCAAAGAAGTGCACAGCCTGCTCCCTTCCAAAGCTGTTCTTTCTGATGCTCCTCCTCAGCTGATAGCTTTTTGGGGGTTTGTTTTTGTGTGTTTGTTTTTGTTAAGCATCCCAGCCCCACACCATCTGAAAATGCAAAACGAACTCCTGCCATGATGGTGCAAAGGATGAAGCCATGTGCATACACACACATGCATACACAAACATGCATACACAACTTGAACATACACGTACCGCATCCCAAGCAGTGGGAGCATGCTAGAGAGCACGAGCAGAAATGAACTGGCTGTAAGACCACAGCAGCAGTAGTCAAATGTGGTTAGCCAAACAGGCTAATGAGTACTACAGTAAACCAGAAATCTTTTAAAATCACTCTTCAATTCTCTCCCTCCCTTGATTTTTCCTGACTTTTTTCCTCTGAGATACAAACTCATTAGACTATAACAAGCAGATGCTGACTGATGTCCCTCTTTGTATTTGGGCCATGATAAGTAAAACAAAATCTTCACAAGGTCATCCTTGAGTCTCCTGTCATTGAATCAGATGCAAGCAGGAAATGATAAGGGTGGAATTAGGCATTACCTGGAGCTATGTATTTTATTTGCAGACAGGGCCCTCCTGCTGGGGGAAACCTGGTGACTAGGGACCTGGGTTGGCTCTATGCTGTTGAACCTAGTCGCAACCAGAACAGGAGGTGGCTGGTGGGATGAGGAGGGGAAGGGGAAGACATAAAGGAAAGTTGCCTTGCAGACTTGTTTCATGATATCACTTCATCAGTTCAGTATCCCCAAAGGAATGATAACACTTCTCCATTTTGTACAAAGTTTAGAGAGCATTGGAGGAAATACAAGTACCACTATTTTAATTATTTTTTACCCCAAATTCTACCATTCCATCCACAGTTTCAAAAACTATCATAATCTTTCTCTCCCTTATTTCTGGTGGGAATAATTACTTGGAAATGTTATTCTTCCAACAGTCTAGGTTCTGGTCAGATGCTTAATTTTTTTTCATTTCATCACTGCTCCTTCCTCTCCCTCCTCCTCATCCTTAGTTTGTGGCCAAAACTTCTGCTTCTGCCAAAAGTAATAATTTTAACGCAGAGCTTGAAGGTCAAAACTCAGAGAAAGAAACACCATGTGACTCAGAAACAAAGTACATATGCTATCATCTTTGCTTCTGGTATTGCTGCTATTACAGGCACCGTGGAAATCAAGCACCCTTTGGTATATGCTATTTGCTGGGGAAGCATTTAAGGCAGTAAGGGGATAAGAAGCAGGGATGTCCTGACTGCAGAGAAGGGAAAACCACTGGATTAGGTCTCAAGGCCAGAAGATGGGATAACCTGATTTTAAAAGTTGCAGTAATTGAAGTGCCTCTTTTGGGACTTGCTTACCAGGGATTCAGAGGCTGAGTTTCTCCTGCCTCATATCTTTCTGTACCCTGGGACACTGCAAGTAGTCATCAAGCCTGTGATTCCGCTGTGACAACCCCTGTGGCAGCATTTGGCATAGGTATGGGCTTTTCTGCTCTGAGCAAGGCAAGAAAAACTTGGGCTTGTGGGGCTCTTGAGAGAAACTAGATTTATCAACCATGCTGAGTGGCAAAAAAAGTGTTTTCCTAGAAAAATAATAAAGAAAATTTGTTCTATCAGAAGACCATTAGCTTATAAAAATATTAACTATTGTTGTTGCCTGTTGTGATATCCTTTTTGGTTTTTTACAAATGCAGACCCACACACCTTGAAAATGTTTTCAGAGTGAGGTCAGTCAGAAGAATGTGTGTCAAGGCTACCTGCTCATTCTGTAGTGGCCTGAAGGCTGCTACAATGGGGGTACCCCTCTACTACCCCTGTCTGAAAGGGAGGATGCACTTGCTTCATCCCATTCTCTATAAATACACTAGCTATAAACTGTGCTACATTTGTAAGGAAATCTGGAGCTGTCGTTGTTTAAGCCCAGGCTGTAAATCAGAACCACACAGTCTACTCCCCCCCAACCTTTCTTCCCTCTGCTCCTGGAGGTATGGGAAGGAGAACTGAAAGAACGTAACTCCCATGGCTTGAGATAAGTACAGTCCAATAACTAAGGTGTAACACAAATCACTACTGCTACTACCAATAATAATAATAATGATAAAGGAAACAACAGGGGAAGAGAATACAACACCTAACCACCCACCAACCGATAACACCTAGAAGTGAACTAGCTCTTCTGGGTAACTGCTCCAGTTTATATACTGGGCATGACATGCTGTGGTACGGAATACCTCTTTGGTCAGTTTGGGTCAGGTGTTCTGTCTCTACTTCCTCCTGGCTTCCCCTCCTGAGCATGAGACTCACAAAGTCCTTGGTCAGACTAAACATTTGAGCAGTAACTAAAAACATTGTTGTTATCAGTGCTGTTCCCAGGCCAAAAGTAAAAAAAAACAGCACTGCACCAGCTACTAAGAAGGAGAAAAAATGACTGCTACTCCCGAATCCAGGACAGGAGCACAGGGAAATACTGCTAATAATAAATGATATGGTTTTTAGCTTGCATGTTGAATAGCCTTTGAGACAAAGACTGTGTGTACTTTCATGTACTTTTCCTGAGTTTTGCATAATTACATATCATGACCGAAGCACTGCTCACATTGTCTTACACTAACAGTCTTTGGAAATAATCATAACTTTTTATTTTGCAGTTTTCACCTCCAGAATTATATCCTTAGGAGGAGAATTATGTTGTAGAACTTTGTAAAACTATTTAAACTTGAAATCACAATGATATTTTGGAAAGACAATTAAGAGACAGGGAATGAGTTTCGTATCTATATTATAGTATTTTGCCATAACCGGACACAGGTGCATTGTCTTTGGATGCCAAATTATTCATTTTAAACACAGTTAAATAATAGGATTTTTTCCTTCTGGCTGGTTAGAGTCTTCAAAATAAAATTCTAATGAATTTCTTCAGACCTGACTATGATCTGAAGCAAAATTGAATAAGCAATTTATTCCTATGCTTATCTTAAAGAATGGCAATTGACTTGAGTAGGGTTTCTTTACATGCCACAGTTCAAGTTTGCCTGTTGATTCAAGGATTTGCATAGTCACATTTAAGTCAAAGTAAATGTTTGTGCAGGAACAAGTTCTTGGCAGGAGTCGGAGCACCAGCATCTAGTCTTTCCCCCAAATATGGGATAACAAGCTTTTTGCTGGTTTTGTTGTTGAAGAGTAAGGGCTTATTTTGAAAAGAAAATTGTGATGATGTATTTGCTCTTTCTGCAGGTGATCTGGCACAACATGAACAGTTACAAAATTACTGGAGTCCTAGGGCTATGTTAGTTGTATTAATTTACAACAAGCTGTATTACAATAAGGGTTTCTGAGGCAATTTTTTAAAAGAACAAAGAACGCTGGACAGTTTCCAAATCTTTCCCATCTGAGGGATTTTAGGGTTTAATTGCCAGCTTTAATATTAGCCCTTCATAAGAATGAATAACTAACTTGTTATCTTACCATTATATAGCAATGGTCATCATGGTGGAGAGGACATTTTATAGAATCATAGGATAAGAATTGTTTAAAATGGAAAAGACCTTTAAGATCATTGACTCCAACCATAAATCTAACACTGCCAAGTCAACCTGAAATTTAACTGTATAAGAAATCCATGTTAGTGGAAAAGCTGAATCTTAAGGGACATAGAATCATAGAAACGTAGACTGGTTTGCATTGGAAGAGACCTTAAAGATCATCTAGGAATATGTTTCCTAATTTGAGTTTCCATATAACTGTGAAACCAATGAACTTTAAAGCAGTGGAAGAAAGAAGAGAGAAAAGAGGGAATTTCCAAACTGGTTCCATGCCCACAATTCTAAGTTATTCTTGTTCCCCTTATCTTTAAATTATCTTTGAAAACAAATCTTTTTAGGAACTGGTGAAGAAAAAATTGCTGAACATTTATACCATTCCTCAGTCTACCCTTTCTTTCTGTGAGAAGCAGATGACACTGTTCTTAAGAAGTAATCGTAAATGTACTGGTGAGAGGTTACTTAGAAGAGCATCAAAACAGAGCACCCCATCCAAACAACTGCATGATGACTGCCAGCTCTAGCAAATAACCACTGACAGCCAGAACCTGGGGTTCAAGGTGTCAACAGCCTGACAGAGCTTGTCTGTCACTCCAGAAGGAGCTAATATGTTCTGAAACTTGTGAGCTTTAGGGGGTAATGACTATAAAGGCAGTCTAGGAGGTCCATTCCTCTGTGTGTCCCTTCCTAGGACAAGCTGCAGGCTAAACACTGTTTTTCCATAAGTTTTTGATCAGAACTTTATGGAGGTGTAAGAACAGTGACATAGAGGACTGGAATTAGGGATTTTGAGTTTTAATACTTTGGCTGAATTTTGCTATTTGAAAAGCAGGAACATGGCTGACTTCAGAAGTTCAGACAGAATGTGGAAATCTCTCTTTTTCCTTTTCTTTTTTTCTTTTTTAATTTTTAATTTAAGTTTCATTAAAAGCTCTCCATCAGTGATAAGACTCCTGCATAATTAAACCAAATGAATGATTCCTGTGTCCTCTCTAGCAGCAGTGATGGACTCTGCTGATCATCTGTAGACAAATTTTCCCCCTCCCTATGGCTGAAGTGAGGACTGCATCCACTGGCCTGGTGCACCTCTACAGCTTTAAGTAATTAAAAGGGTAGATGTTCTCTGCTTTTGAATTGGCTAGGTTAAATGGTCAGTAAATTGGGCTGGTGGTTCCTGGTTGTGGATGTAAACGTAGGAGTTAACAAAGTTTCAGGGGTAGCTTATCCACTTGGGTAGTGTATGCCTCTTCCAGATAGAAGCAATAACATCAGAGAGCTGTAGATTCTCATTTCCAGGTCATGTGGCAAGGCAATGGTGAGAGGTGAGTAATGTTATGGGATATATTTCACCGTTGTTGTATGCAGGAAGGGGATTAAAAGATCACTGGGCTGTTTATTAGGTTGTAGATGGCTTAGCTAAGAAAAAACTTCAGGGAGGGTGTTCCCAAGTTCTGGAAAGGTAACAAGGTAAGGTGTTGAACTTGAGCCATGTAAAGTAACAGCCACTAGTCATCAGAGTGGTTACAGCTAAAAAGCCTTTACAGGCTGATAGAAATGTAGCCTCTGATTTTACATTAAGGCTGGACCTTTTATCAAGCTTGAGCAAGATCTTAAAGTTTGTGTTCTCACTGAGTTCAATTGCTTTAATATGCTATGTAACATAGGATTTATCTATTTCTATTGTGTGAATTTTAGATGTGAATATGACCTTCATTTGATCTAGTCAACTTACCCTACAGTGTCCAGAGTCAAAGCTGATTATGGATGGCAGGCTTTGAGGTTTATAGTATTCCACATGTGGCAGAATTGTCTGGTCTGAGGGAAGGACTTTTAAGAGCTGTCAGTGCAAAAGACAGGTAGAAAGATGACCTCTAAGTAGCTTGGCTTTCTTAGGTCGAGTCTTATGCATGGTGCTGTTTGTGCTTCATGGACATACTTTATTGACGCAATGTGACTGCTGTCCCTTGTAGAACCCTCCAGAAAGCTACTGAAGGCTTTTGTCTATAATGAGTTTATCTCAGTGAGTAGCATGTTGTATAAATTGATGCCGCTGTGGCTTTTGAAATTGGAGTGATAACTGATCTTTTTGAAGAGATAATTGGTCTAATGGTTATTTAGGTGGAAATTCTTACCTTATATGTAATCATTGCTGATTTTTAAAACTTCAGCTCTAGTTTCTTCATAGGAAGATTTTATGCCCTTTCTTCTTACCTTGGTGTTGATTCCAAATCTGTCCTATTATTTCTTTGCTGTTCTTCTGTCATGAAAGATGTGGACACAGCAAAGGACTGCCTGTGACTAGATATTAAGTTCTTCATTGTGAGGGTGACGAGGCACTAGCAGAGGTTGCCCAGAGAAGCTGTGACTGCCCCATCCCTGGCAGTGTTCAAGGCCAGGTTGAATAGTCTTGGAGCAACCTGGTCTAGTGGCAGGTATCCCTGCCTGTGGCAGGGGGGGTGGAACTGGATGAGCTTTAAAGTCCCTCCAACCCAAACCATTCTGTGATTCTATGAAAAGCAGATTTTTTCCATTCTCTGAAATGGCTCAAGGGATTCTAGCAAACTTCTGTTCTAAGTAGGCGTTTTTAGAGCTACCTGAAGCTAGGAGTTATGAAGTTACCTGTATTTTGCAGCTCTGATTGTAAAAAGAGAATGCTTGCGTATGGTCTTGCAAAGTGTGAGAAAGTCTGAGGTTCCAATTAAGATTTGAATTCTAATTTCTCCGGTTACTGAAAGTGTTTTGTTTTCCCAACAAGTGTGTTTTGATTAGAAATTTTCCTTTCTCATCTTGGATGTGAGTGGGGTTGAGGCAGAGAACAGCGCTGAAGTAGGTAACAGCATAAAAATTGGTTTAAGCAAATTAAATTGTATCAGTCAGGGAAAACCTATGTTAGCTCAGCCCACTGGGATCAGTCTTGGTGACATCTCATTAGATGTTTGTGTGGAAAAAAATTACTTGGTGGTTACTAATAGAAGAATATTTTGGAGATATGTGGAACTTTTATTTTTAAGACTGCCAGTTTTGGGGAAACCTTACAAAGTCCTAATTAACAGTGCTTGGAGACAAGGGTCTCATGTGCTGCAGCTTGCACTTGCAACAGTGTGACAAAATTGTTAATTGATAAAATAGAATAAGCTGTGTTTTCAGAGTTCTCAGTTCATTGGGACTATCAGCCACAGTTTACCTGTTGAAGTCGTGGTCTCAAGCATCAGATTTTTTGCATGAGTTATTTTCGCTGTTTATCATTGTTTTTAATAAAAATTAAAAAATAAAGGTTATTTAAAAAGCATACTGTACCCTGTATTATCAGGGTTAGTTACCTTTTGCCATTTAGAATTGTGCCATCACTTCTAATCATTTATCTCCTGTAACATTTTATGGGCTACATAAGATAAGAAGCAGCAGCAATGTGTAGTTTGCAACTCTATTATTGATGTAATTAAGTGTTGAGGAGAGTCTATTATAGATAAAGGCTGCAGGAAGCCATGAATGCAGATTTTCAGAGAGGCATGGGGTGGGATAGGTAATGGATCAAGTACAGAAGCTGATGCAATTCAGTCTTTGCAACCTGTGAGCAAACTAATCTCAACAAACGAGGGGTCAATGGAGCTGTTTGAAGGTGGGAGGTGCTGTAGTCCTTCAGCCTGTGTGTTTCTGAAGCCTGAGCAACATGCTGGAAGAGAAAGTGATAGAGGAGGGTATTTCACTGCTCTGGGAAGGAGGAAATTAAAGCATGCACATGAGGTTTTTCTGCAGAAATGAAGTAGTAGCAGGGGTTTGTACTGGTGATGTTACGACATAGGGAAGGCACGAAGTTTCTAAATTAAAAATGAGTCCTTTCATTTTAAGCAGAGCAGATGTTTTAGTTCTTTTCATATGTTGTGAATGAAGTCCAGCATTGTTTTTTGACTTTTCCTGTTCTGTGAGCTGCAGGATTAATTGCAACAAGCAACTTCTCTCATGATTTGGGCATTGGAAACGTTGGATACAAAATATTTACCTTCTGGTTTATGATAGATGTTTGTTACTCCCTCTTTTTAACATTTGGAGGTTAATATTGCTGCTATCATCTTAGTGTAATTACAAACTATATAAAAAGAGGCTTAAATATTCTAAAAACATATTCTGGTTATGAAAACTGGATAACTTTCTAAATTCGAAAAGGAGTTTGGGATGCTTTCACAGGTAAAGAACAAAAAAACCATTAGAGACTGTTAGTGGGTTTTGATCAGAGTTAGCACTTCCTCACTTGCTGTTATTTACCCCAATATTTCTACTTGCTTTTTTTGTGTGTGTCCAAAAGATGCATTTTCTACTTCTGTATGTACATAATCATATCATCCCTTCACTCTTGGAATGTATTTGGACAGGAGCAAGGAAGAAGTGTGACCATGTCAGGAAATTAAACATTTACAAAATAAGGAAATGGATTCTTTACCAGCCTACAGGCAGTAAAATGTTATTTGTTCTACTGTGAAGCAATTAATGGTTAAGACTGCAGGAAATATTTAATTGAGCATTGATTTAAAACAAAACTGGTGTTCATTTAGGTAGCTGTGTTCTGTTGAACTACCCTTATCTCAGATTTAGTATAGACTTTCAGAAAACAGTGTTAATTAATCTGTAGACGACCTTTGCCTTTTTTCAACCTCTTGGAGGATTGTGACAGAAACCTTTTGGAGGATCAAAACCAGCAGTGTTTGAAAGATGTTAGTATAAGGCTATAGGTGTGAATCACAATAATTCTGATTGAATAATGGTAATGCTGTTTTATCTAAAAAGCAGTACATGGGATCTGTATTATCTTCAACTGAAATTTTAAGTATGTATTTAATTGTTAAGATGCTTGGGGATGTTCTCGAATATGTACTCTGTCTAGATGAATTATGATGTTGCCTAGTAACAAGAGAGATGACACTCCTGAGACACATGTTTGTATTCCTTTAGATTCTGTTTTTCTCAGCTCTTATTTGAGGTTGTTTTTTCATAGGGGTGTGATGGCCATTATTATAAGGCAAACAGCAGAATGAGGGGCCACTGACATTCCATAGCAACATCCTTGTTTTCTGAATCAAGAAATTCATAGAAATATATGATTATCTCTGATTTTTTTTTCTTGTATAATACCTATTCTCAGAACCGGAGGTGATGAAACTGGGGAAACTTTGTACAGGTGGAACAGTTTAAAGCAATGATTAGCAGATGACTGCTAGATCAGGGAAGGGCATCCTCTGTTTTCTTATCCCTTAACAGACTTTTTTTTTTTTTTTTCCAGCCTCAGATGCAAAGGTGTAAGGGAAAGGGAATCTGAAATGGGAGTCCCATTGGCGAAGTTTTATTGGAGATGTTTTCCATGTTTTCAGTCCTAGGGAAGTATCTGCCTGAGACACTTCTATTTGCCTCTGAGGCACAAAGTCTTGGCTCCTCACAAACCCCTCATTATCTCCTCCCTTGTGCTGCTATTTCTCTGAACTTTACGCTTGTCTGTAACAGTGTAAGTATAGATGAAAATGCAAAGTATGCTCCTAGGGAGATTTTTCCAAATTCTCACTTTCTACCATGCACAGTAGGCTAGCACGGAAGACATCACCCATCCTAAAATACAGAAAGCTAAATTAGTAACTTTATAGCAATAAAATGTATGAATTGCGATCTTATAATACTGCCTTAGCAATTCACTTGGTGTATGCACGACTGGTTACTACTTGAACAAAATATCTAATGATATTTAATGACATTTACTACGTTTACCATTTTACAGATGTGAAGCTCAGGCAGAACGGCTGAAATCTCTGCTTAGTGTTGCATCTTCTTCTGAAAGGTTTAAAAAAGGAGCAGGGGGAATAATTGACCCATATGAGTTCCTGCAACAAGTTGTCACAGAACTGAGGGGGGGAATAGTGAAATTCTGTCTCTAGAACTTCTGCTGTAACCATTTTTATCTATTTTGTTAATAACAAGGTGAATAATACAATGACTCCTCAAATTATTTTACCTCTAACAACCCAGGGAAACTAAATTTGACCTAGACTCAATTCATTTAAAGTTGAATATATGTTTTGGTCTTCAACAGCTAGATATCTCCCTGCCTGGAGCACCTGTCAGGCTTGATATTACTATGGTGAGGGGGGCTGAATAATGACTTAACTAAAATGAAGAGAACTAATACTGCTATTTTGTAATCCTGAATATTCTGCAATTCCCTAAGCCTTTTACAAATGCAAGTTACGAGTAGAAAAACTTTCTCTGATTTAGAGTACATCTGAAATTTAATAGAAAAAGACTAGCATTTCATTCTTCCTCATAGATTTTCATAATACTT